TTAAACACAAAGCTGCACAATGGGATGTCTTTACTGTGCCTACCGCAGGGATTGAGCCCCGAATTTTAGTGTTCTGAGCTCTCAAGTTTACCGCCAAGCCACAATGGTGCTTTGAAGATTAGTTGTGCATAACAGTAAGGAAATTACATTACTGAATTAAATAAAATATATAAGCGAAATACAGAGGTATAATGCTTGAAAGAAATAGGTCCCAACTGCTCGCTAAACCTACTTCTGTAATAAGTTAGATACGTTAAGTACTTCAAACTAGTATGATTGAGCAAATCCAATACAATAAAAATAAAGCTTATTATTACTGTAATATTCTATGGCCTTAACGGTCCTTTTTTTGTGGAGTAGCAGAAACGACCGAAAGAAACTGAAAAAACAACTCAAAAACAGCAATTTTTGTAAATAAACACGCTTACTGAGTAAAAAAAATGAATAAAAAACTTGGAACTCTGAGATAAACGGCTAACACCAAAACGATTAAAAGCAACAAAAAAATTATGGGTCGTGTGATAAAATAAAATGAAGAAAATTATACTTTTCCCACAACCAAGAATAAGACAACGAAATATACCTAACTGTGAACTAAATGTTTCCGGGAAATTAAAAAAACAATAATACCTGTAACCAAACCAATAACGGTTCGACAAGACGAACCAGCTCATAAGTTGAATATGAAAAGTGGTAGTTGTCAACTGAACATTTAAGTCAATAAGTGAGTAAATATGAGGGAATCCTCAATAGCCCCGGCACTTGAAATTCTTTTAGGCAGGGTTAGAGTAAAATAATCTATGAGACCTTCTTTTCCTTTTTATTAGTTATATTTTTGATTTGTTTGTTTGGTTGTTTGTTTTTAATTATGCACAAAGCTACACAAGGGCTATCTGTGCTCTGCCCACTACGGGTATCGAAACCTGGTTTCTAGCATTGTAAGTCCGCAGACATGCCGCTGTGCCACTGGGGGGGCCATATATTTTTGAGCCCCAGCCATACCAAGTGTGGGGCGCGCGTATACGCGATTCAATTTTATTACTCATCAGGTTCTCTAACAGCGTACCCTCAAACTGAAATTCTTTTAGGTAGGGTTAGAGTAAATTAATCTATGAGACCTTGGACGTGGTCAAATAAACCATCGAAAGGGTTTGACCTCCTGAGTTCAAAACTGTAATTAGATTTCAAATCGGTCAAGAGATGACGGAGCTATGATCTAAAAGTTTGTACTTGAAAAAACAAACAAAAAAAAAGCAACTCAAATCTGCACTATGATCCGCTATGATGCGGCTAAAAATTGTAAAGGAAATTAAAGTGTATTTTTACAGCAAATTTTGTTCAAGTCGAAGTTAACATGAATATGAGACATTGAGTAACTTAGGATAAACATGAAGGATATGAAGATACTTCCTTCAGTATGTGTTATTTGTATAGAGAGAAGAGTCGATGGTTTCCTCATGAAAGTCAGTTACAGAACAAATTAGCAGAACATTAGTTTTGTGTATCTGATTATTCGAGAAAAGATTTAGTGTATGTGGGTCTTATTTTCTTTTTTTGCTTGTCCTTGTTCAGGGTTGCTGATAAGGATGGACTTCCTCGATATCAGTTTAACTCGCTGATTTATAGCAAATCCATAATAGAATGGGCCTCAAATGTCGTTTTGGCTAGAATTGAAAATAAAAATAGCATGAGACTAAAATGATTATTTCTAACTCAGTATAAGCAAACTTCAAATAACGCAAAAAATATAATCTAAGCATAAGGTATTAACATCTAGATTTAAATAAAGGTTATTAGATAATTTCTGTAAGCAATGTAAACAAAAAAGTAATTTGGTATCAGTTTCGTATATAAAATAATTGGGCAATGACTGTTGTAAGTAAGAATATTGTTACGTCTCTAGTCGTTAGTTAATTTTCCGTATAATTTCTTTCCGAAGACACTTTAGCGATACAAGTCCTTTCTTAAATAAAACTGGTTTATTCTTTCTAAATACAACTTTGCAATACACTTAATTTCCACAGTCGCGCTATAACAAACGCTATAATTCACAACGAACGTCTCACGTGCTCGACTCAACTGTCAATTACGCATTACCTTCTTGCCATCACGTCTTGATCGTCTTATATATAAAAGTATACCGAGATCTAGTAAGCGCTAGAGCATTCAGGAAGGGACAGGATCCTTCTAGAAGTTAATGACGTGTTAATAGAGTCACGTGACTTCCGCTGTCGTAACAATATTTTAGTTTAAACCAATTTATTCAACGGATCATAGTTGTGTCTAGTATGTGGGTTTAAAGCTCTCAAAAAAACATTTTTATCAGTATAATGCTTAAGTAACTAAGTATTTGAGACAATGTCTAAAAATCTGAGCTAATAACTATAAACAAATTTACCTCTGAAGCATTTGTTACAAATACTTAGGCCCATAAGGTGTGAATAATGATTCCTACAGCCAAACCTGTAACAATGTGTAAAAAAACCCACCTGATTGTACTTTGTAAAAATATGTAAAAACCCGACCTCACTGTGGTTTTTAACATTGCATATTATAATAATGTATTGAAAATTTACATCGTAGTTTTGTAACAATGTGTAAAATCCACTTTATTGTGTTTTGTAAAAATATGTAAAGAACTTCTCATTATGTTTTGTAAAAGTGTGTAGTAACCTACTTCATTGTTTTTGTAACAATATGCAAATTACCTAATTCAGTGTGTTTTGTAATACTGCATTAAAAGACCTACCTCAGTGTGTTTTGTAATAGTGTGTAAAAAGACCTACCTCAGTGTGTTTTGTAATAGTGTGTAAATAGACCTACCTCTGTGTGTTTTGTAATAGTGTGTTAAAAGACCTACCTCAGTGTGTTTTGTAATAGTGTGTAGAAAGATCTACTTTAGTGTGTTTTGTAACAGTGTTGTCAGGGTTTTAAGATAAGTAAGTTGGAATTCTTTTCAGTAGATGTCTGCTGACTTGTTGGCAATAAATTTCAACAATAAACAGACAGCACACAATCCACTTGTTTTAAAATTATAGATTCAAAACAAGTCAAACGTATGTACAAAACTTTGTTACACTAATGCTTATCACAATCACAGTTGTATCTAAAACTCTAAATAATTATCTTTTCTTTTCAAAAGTCAACACAAGCTAGTTCAGTTACTTTAGAACCCAATTGACAAGAAGAATTATTATTTTCTATTTCTCTTTCTCACTATACAATCAGTGATAAATTCTTGTATCCAGAACTTTAAATAACTGTCTCCCTTTCGTCAATGTCCACATAGGCGGATTCAATTACTCTAGAATAATCTTTAACAGGACAAAATAATTCTTCTTATCTCTGTTAAAATAACTTTAAAATATTGACTTTTAGGCTAAACTAACAATCATGTAGTCTAACTTCACATTCAATGTTTTCTGACTAAACTGGCATGGCCAGGTGGTTAAGGCACTCGACTCGCAATCTGAGGGTTGCGGGTTCGAATCCCTGTTACACCAAACATGCTCGCCCTTTCAGCCGTGGAAGCGTTATAATGTGACGGTCAATCCCACTATTCGTTGATAAAAGAGTAGCCCACGAGTTGGCAGTGAGTGGTGATGACTAGCTGCCTTCCCTCTAGTCTTACACTGCTAAATTAGGGACGGCTAGCGCAGATAGCTCTCGTGTAGCTCTGCGCGAAATTCAAAAACAAACTGACTAAACTTGCACTCACTTGGTCGCATATATATATATATATATTACCCAACTGAGGCCTAGAACTTTCTACAAACTACGAGATGCTATGATGTAACAATACTCACTTAAGGCAACGAGAAAAATACAGAAGTTTCGAGTTATGTGACATCAGTTTACAACAACTGAACTACACACACACAACGTACGACTCTTACCGAGTTGCGTAACGAAATTTGTCATAACTATCGCTTTTAAAATAACTAACTTTTAACAGCTTTTGTTATGACAACTAGATAATCAATAAATATCAAATCACTAAATAAAGTAAGTATTAACTATTATACTAAACAGTCTTGTATATCCATCAACTGTGTTTTGTAACATTAAAGTATAGAATAGATGTTGAGAATATTCACCTAATTAAGGGTGCATTTTATGAATTTTTAGGATGATTATGGTAAGGTTTGAGCACAAACAAGAATTATAAATGGATGTGTAAAATTGGAAAAAAAAAAATTATGAAACAACTATAAGAACAGAATAAGTCGTGTTAAAGTGCATGAGGCGGAGTTAGAGAATTATAATATCTAATTATGAGGAAAACACAACATTGAAAAAGATGTATTGTGAGTTGAAGAATTGCTGTGATGAATTATGACAACAAGCATTTCTTTGGTTGAGGGTAAAGATGGAGTATTATATATATATATATACACATACATATGAAACCAAAACATTGATAAGATTCACATGTGGATACCAACAAGAAAATACGGGAATATAGATTGTTATAGATTCTCAGCAAACCTATTTCCTATACTGTGACCTTGGAAATCACGAAACCGGTAGAAGAAATTAATAAAGGAGGAAAAAAAAGTCTGATATTCAAGTGTTTTTCTTATATACATATATATATATATATGTGTGTGTGTGTGTGTGTGATGAATTTATGAGGGCCAGCACGTTGCTGGTCAGTAATGGCTGAGTTAGAAAGTAAAAGCTAGAAATCCAAGAATTAAGTTGTAAAATGCAGCATATAATAAGAAATTAACTTAAAACACTTTAGACCACTTTTAATTTCCGTACAATTCTAGTTCTGGGTAATGCGATAAAAAAACGTTTTAGAACCAACTATGAAATATTTATTCTACTTAATCCAGCTGATAAAAAGTTTCATTGCCATAACAATTGAGCGTTGGGATTGGGATTAGTTTAAGCAATTAAATTTAACTTGATGAATATATGCGAAAAGGGATTTATCATGTTACAATAGCTGACGAAGTAATTTTTACCTTATATCTTTTTGTTTCTTTTCACAGTGTTTCAACATCTCCAGTAAAGGGCCAGGATGATTTTAATGGAGTAGTTTCTCACACACAACTATCAGCTTCATCTAGAGAGAAATATCATGAACTAAATGACCAAAATTTTTCTTCCAAAAGGGTATCGAACGTTGTAACACCTGTTACAGAGGATCACGATGACCAAAGCCAAGATTCTTCTTTCATGGGTGTATCAAACATGTTTACACCAACAATGGGAAATCATAACCATCAAACCCAAGTTCCTTTTATCATACAGGAAACACCAATATTAACGCCATCCACAGAAGATCACAGCTATCGAAATCAAGGTTCTTCCAATAAAGTATCGACAGTTTTAACATCAGCCACAGAATATTTCAGTAAGAAAAACAAAAATTCATCTTTTGCACCAATTCCAGAAGTTATAAAGCCAGATACAGTAAAGGTCCACAATGATCCAGGCTCCAACTATTCTACTAGACGAATACCGATGACAAGTCATCGACACAGGAACGAGAACCTTGATGCTCATGGGCACTCTCCCGATACTCATCGATTGTCCTTTCTAGACAAGGTCTTAAGAGGATACGACAAACGTGCCTGGCCCACTTACGGAATGGGTAAGGTCGTACAAGTTAAAATAATAAGAATGACAATAAGACTAATCCCAAGCAAGTTCTACTATTTAGCGGGTTAGGGCGCAACCTACAAGTCGTGGGTTTGAATCCTGTTACCGAATATGCTCGCTCTTTTGGCCCTAGGAGTGTTATAATGTGACAGCCAATCCCGCTTTTCGTTGGTATAAAGAGTAGCCCAAAATTGACGGTAGGTGGTATTGACTAGCTGCCTTCCCTCTAGTCTGTAACTTTTAAATTATGGATGGCTAGCACAGATAGCCCTCGAGCAGATTTTTGCGAAATTTAACAAAACAAACAAACTAAAATATATAGGGTAATAAAACAGAAAATATAAAATGATTAAAATAGCTGTAAGATGGTATACAGTAATCAAAATTTCTAAGAAATTCATTTATCCAAAAGTTTATCCGTCCTCATGACGTGGTGATGTTTCTTAAAAACACGTTTTTTTCAACACATTGTTTTTGTTGTTGTTTTCACTTAGTCGCCAGTTTTCAACAGTCTCATCTACAAAAAACTAAATTCTAGAGTCATTTGGTACAATGAAATGTTTCTAGATTAACTTATAGGTACGTGGCTCAATCTGCACCAGAACCGGAGGTGTCAGAGGGCTATTGGTCACCCCCTTATTAAACAGGGGAGGACACTAGATCACTTTTAATAACCTGACTTCGAGTAAAATATGTGCTTTTCATTTAATTTACAAGGAGTGAAGGAAAATTAAGTATTGACAATTCTCAAAGATAGGAAGGTAAACGGATAATTCTTTAATTTAGCCTTTTTTAAGTGTTTTAACCTTAATTAAAATAAAGTATTCCCACTCCAGAAAAAAAAAACCTAGATGAATAGTCTATGAGAGAATTTACTTTACTTATACAAGGATTTTTCCTTCTATTAACTCTCTCAGTAGTCTCCTACCTGGATTGTTTAAATCAAAGGTTGTCTTTATAATTCTCAATTCTTTAACATAAGCCTCCGATGGCTAAAAATCGGGTTTCAATATCCTTGGTTGGCATTGTGTAGCTTTGTGCTACCGGATATTTTTAGCATAAATATTTTAGTTATTCCTAGCTGGTTCACATAGGTCTCTGAGTCTGAATACACATTAACATAATTCACAGATCACACTTTACTTCACCATATGATATTGTAGGTATACGTACAGGTCGAAAATATGTGTAGGTGTTACATCTGAAATAGGCCTAAGGCGAAACTTTATCCATTAGGAAAAATTATTTTGCTTGTTTGATAGCATTTATTTTCTTTTTTTTTTATATACCTTTATAATTTTTATTGTAACCAATTACGGAACTTACAAATTTTCTAAATTTCATTGTAACCAATTACTGAACTTACAAACTTTCTAAATGTCATCTTTATTGGTTTATGCTTAATTCCTCTATAAACGAAATGGACCGAGTGTGACTCAGTTATAAGTGTCCAGACTGTAAGTCCGAGAATTTATGGTTTGCAACCCCTTGCCGCACTCTGTGGTCATGTGTGTGTGTTTATATGCTAAAATAGTAATGAGCTAAATGATACGAATATTTTTCATAATACAAACAATTCAGCTGACAAACTTCTAACTAATGTCACTAAAGTTTAAAAATAATAATTTATAAACATTTCACATTTTTAGAATTACCGTGTCTTTACATGCAGTTATAAACTACATAAAAATCCAATTACATCAGGGTGTATTATTGTTTAAGTATTTTGTTAAATAAAACATTTAACTTATTAATAAACAGGAACAGAGACGACGATCGTAATACTCATGACTTATGGATGTTAAATAAAAATGAAAAAATTATCAAAATTTTTTTGCAAATGGTACTTTAGTCCACATATTTCATTTTACGACTCTAAATATATACACTCCGTTAAACAACCCGGTTAGTTTTAACTCTATTAGTTGATTCATTTATTAAGATATGAGTTGATTTTTTTAAATTTTAAACTGTTAATATGGATAATTATAAATGACACATAGCTAATTCCTTATGTACTATAATGATCAGGCCAAGACATGCAAATTTAGATATAGGGCAATCTCAGATTCAACCTGTGACGGACGTGGCAGCCATTTTTCAAAATGGTCGACATTTCCCAAAATAATACTCTATATTTGGGAACCAAGAGACCCGGAACCTTCAATTTTTAATGTTTACGCATAGATTTGTGGTGTCATAAAGTTTACACATGCCATTTTTGAGTGCACTAGCCTAGCACATATGCCATTTTTAAAAATGGCGGCTCTAAAACAGAGAATAATAAAATATTTTTAGAAATGTAACAATACAATTTATTTCAGCTGTATAGTTGCATTATAAGCACCTGGTTATCTTTTCATATGAAGTTTATGTGTAAAACGATGCATTTAGAAAGGTCTATATATCATTTCCACTCTGTAATGTCTTCCATAATCCTTGCATATATGCTTCCACACTTGCCCAAGTCAGGGCGGCTCTTACGCATTTGCAGTTTCCTCGGCAGCCTTTGGTGCAATCGCAGCGCAAAAGTTCTCTTCGGCATTGCTAAAAGCAATTACATTCTCTGCAAGGCTAATAAATCTTGTACAAACACAACTACATTTTGAAGAAGCCGGACAACAGTTTTACGTTTTTGTCCTCCTATGAAATAAAGCACTTTGACCAGTCAATTTACACAACTACAGCAGCTGGTTGAGTCATCAGGCTAACAGCTTCACCTTTGGAGACACCTTATCCAAAAAAAAAAAAGACACCAATATCAATTTGTTGCAAATTTTTTTGTTTGTAAGATTTTAGCAATTTTGGAAGGAAAGTCAAGATTCTATGCCTCAAAAACTTACCAACATGTTGGATTTTTTTAGTGTCCGCCTTCTTTGAAAATAGTAGAAACTGTAGAATATTGATCTTGTAAAATTCAACATTTTTATTCAAGTTTCTCGTTACCAAAACCTATTATTTGACGCCACAACGAATTTTATTGAATTTCATGTTTGCTAGTGTGGATATGGTGGACTTTCCAGTCTAATGAGCTCACCAATCATATCTTTGAACCATACGATTCCAAAAACCTAGTGTAGAAACCAAAATAAAGGTTTTAGACCTCTTAGTATCCAAGATATGGAGTTTTACTATGGAAAACGTCCGCCATCTTATTAAATGACGGAAGTGCTGATTTGGCGCAGTTACCAATGCTTTTTTTTTAACATTATGATCTCAAAAAAACCTATATGTAAACACCAAAATAAAGACTCTACGACATTTAGTTTCCGAGATATGGAGTATCACTTTGGGAAAGGTTGGTCACTTTGAAAAATGGCCGTCACAACTGTCAGAGGACGAATCTGGGATGGCCTTATATCTTAATTTACATGCTTTGGTCAGTTTTACTTTTGTGCGAAGTTTCATGCTTTTATCTCAAAATGCACGATTTGGCTCCTATCCACTGGACTAATTGTTATATTGTATAACCCAATAATTTAGGCCTACTTCTAGTTTCATCGAACTTTACATCTAAAGTATGAAATCGCTAGTCAATGTAATATCTATCAAAAATGCTGGTTTATTACAACAGCGTTAGAACTACTTGACATCTTAAACACATCTTACACAACAAAGGAAGCCTATGGTCATTGCTAGGTATTTAATTGCATTAATATATCTAAGAGATGGTGTCCTGTTTGAAAATGACTACTTTTTCTTATTCATCGCTAGTTTTTTACTTAAAAACCCTTGAAGACAATTACATGTTACTGTGTATTGTTATATTAAAACAGTTATCATACAAAACAAAAGAAAATTTAAAGCAGAGTTATTGCTCTACGCTTGTTTAATGAATTTCGCGCGAAGTTCCTCGAGGAATATCTGCGTTAGCCGGCTCTAATTTAGAACAAATAGATTAGAGGGAAGGTAACTAATCAACATCACCCACCGCCAGCTCTTGGACTACACTTTATCAACCAAAAGTGAGAGTCATCGTCCCATTATAACGCTCCCATGACTGAAATGGCGACCATATTCGGTGACGGATATGTACCTGCGACTCACGGATTAGAAGTCGATCACACTAACCACCAGGCCATGCCTGTTCAGAGATACATGTTAAAACTCCAATAAAAGGCAAAGGTAAAAATATGTGAAATATTGATTCCAGATGTTAAAATTACTAGAGCTGATTCGTTTAAAAAACAGTGCATACAAACATATAACATTTTTATGTTGAAATTAATTGATTTTCTACAGAAATCTTTTGAATAAAATTTCTATTTAGTTTTCGAGATAGTTGTTTTTTTCAAAACGTTTCAATTATTGAATTTTTCTGGAATAGTGTGAGGACTGTTCGAAAGCATGCTTTCGGAATTAAAACCATCTCAACGTTAATTACGGGTTGGTTTAGTTATCGCAATGAAGTGTGTTTAGCGTGTGTTTAGCTAGGACATGTTTAATTATTTAATAACAAATATTTTTTCAAAATACTGTTGACATAAGCAGAGTGTGTTTATTGATGCTATGTTATTTTATTCCAGGAAAACCCGTCAATATCACTGTTAACATGTACGTGAATAGCCTGGGCTCAGTAAGCGCTGCTAACATGGTAAGTGTTTTTTTAGCTTAATTATTAAAATCTAGAACTTACGACACAGTTATGAAAAATATATAACAAAGTAAGCTAAGCCAGTAAAACAGAAATAAAATAATATAGCCAAAGAACTATCATGGGATGGAAAGAGACGTATAGTGAAACAAAAGTGAAGGACGGGGGCCTTTTAGTACAAGTGCCTGACACTGGAATTGAAAGATTCGCTGAGCATACCTCAAGTTGGCAAAGATTCATATAGAAGATATAAAAAACGTAATGGTGGAGGGAAAGAGTACCGTGTATGAATCTTTAAAAAATGCTGAATGTACATTAATTAAGACTGATGAGTTTGTAAATAATGCACGTAGACTTACTCAAGAAATAAGAGTTCAAAGGAAGAAAAAAATAAAATTGGGAAATAAAAATTTAGAATTCGGAAATAAAAATTTAGAATTCGGAAAAGGGTTAAAACAAAAGCAGGAGATTTGTGAATTAAGTCAGTATTTGAGGAATCAAAATTTGTAAATAATTGGAGTACCAGAAAAATGAAGAGAAAACATACATGAAATTGTAAAATATATTGCTAATATAATTTATATAAAGATTAGTGAAGGTAGTGTACATGCTGTGCATAGAATACCAAATGAAAATTGAAAAAGAATGAAACCTGTAATAGTAAAATGTAAGTTTAAAGCGATAATAAATAACGGGTTGGTAACAAATAAAAATGAAAAGTATTATATAAGAAGTACTAACACAGATTCAAAACTTAAAGATGGTAAAATAAGCTTAAATAATCTTCTCACGTCTGCATTAAAATAGTTATTATAGAAAGCAAATTTCAAAATTGTCTGAGTAAAAGAAGGGACAATGAGAAAGTCAAAAAAGGTCTAAAATATGGATAATAACTGACGAAAAGGATATAAATAAAGTGACAGAGTATGATACATAATTAATGTGAACATATTTATGAAATTGATACAAAAACACTTCAATATATTCAAATGAAAAGAAATGAAAATTTGTATTCTATTATGGCAGAAATAAGTAAATACAGTTGTCACACAAAATATAACACTTATTAAGGAAAAGTTTGAGCAGATTGGATCAATAATGCATGATTTAAAGTATATGGTAGATGTATTAATTCTGTTTGAGAATAAAGAAATAAGAAGTAAACAGATATCAGTTAGATCGATATAAACTTTTATACCTGTGTGCAATATAACATGTTTAAGAGAAAAGAGTTATATGTTAAGACTCCTACAAAAGTTGAAAAATAAGCATTATGAAATATTAACGGTGGAAATTTTAGATATATATTTAGAAGATAGAGATATGCTTATAATGACTATTTGCAGATCACATAGTTTTACCATACGAGTTTTTAAATGAACTAGAAATTGTTTAAACAGATAATAGAACTTAAAGTGTATTATATGCTGATGATATAGTATTGATTTGATATATGAAACAAATTATTTAAATGAGTATATAGATTTAATGGCTATGTTTGGTTTTAAATCACGTAAGTGAATCAAAACCAATCAGTTTAATATTAAATCACGTACTAATTACTGAAAACTATTTGCATGCACCATTTATAAAATTATAATAATAATAATAGATAATAATAGATTAAAAATTAAATATTGAAGAAAACACAAAAAATAATATTCATAGGAAATAGTTTATCAAAAATTGATTATGAAATTTTAAAACTAAATTCAAGCAGCATTAAAATTGGGAAAAATGTATATTTATAAAATATTAATAATGCACATGAAGCATTCACATAAATTCTGATTAAAAATTAAAAAATAATTCCAGTAAGTATATAAAACATCATAAAAGAAATAATTCAAGAATCTATAGATCACTAATGAATTAAGGATTTGATAAAAGCTAAACATATAATAGATAAAAGCATAAAATATTCCTTTAATTCATATTATAAAGATATTGTTCAAACTTATCGCAGTAAAATTAACCAAAACTTCAAAATACGAAAAACTTAATTTTTAAAAAGGCAGTGAAATTTTTTAATAGGGTTTGTGATATAGAAAATAAGAAAATGATATTACCTGACTGTTCAGATAATGTCAGAAGAAATAAAAATGAAGCTTTTAGAAATTAGAAAGATTAGTTATAAATATGGCAGAACACATTGTAAAATAAAGTGTGATTGAACCATGTAAAACATTTATAATAAAGTATATCACTCTATGGGTTTCTGTACTTGCACCAATATTATAGATAATATTGGTGCAAGTACAGAACCCCATAGAGTGATATACTTGCACCAATATTATTTATGATATACAGTGCCCTAGCGTATGAATATGGTCATTTCCAGAATTCTCAAACATTTTCCGACATAAAGAAAAATGCGTGAATGTAAATGTAGAAACTGAACAGTTCCAAATTATTGGAAACACTGAAAATGAGCAGTGGCTAAGATTAAAAGAAACATTAGCCATAAAGAACTTAGCACCTGAACTAAATAAGTAATCCAGCACCGGTGAGCTGATGTTAAAAAGTGTGATAAGAGAGAAAAATTTCACATGTTTGAAATTACCTTGTGTTAGTTATTTAATTCAGACTTACAAATAAATAGGAAATTGGGTTCTTGGAAATATATCATCTATCCATATGACTACAATATGATCTTTAAGTTGAAGAATGAAATTACTATAAAATATTTTCAATTATTATATTCATTATAATATATGTATAAAAAAATATTAACCGGCAATGTACACAAATTGAAAGTGTAGATGTCATAGAATAGTTAGATTTACAAAGAAACAGATTTAAGTTGAAAACAGCACCTTAAGGATTGACAAATACACTAAGATCAAAGATTATTTGAAAAGTTGTTAAGTTTTCAGGTGTTAAGAATCTTTGTTTCTCATGCATGCAATCAGTTATTGAATATGTAATTTTGATTTGGAGGAAAGTTCCAAGTACATAAAATCAAATGTTTCAACAGAGAATAACATTATAAAAATATAATATGAAAAAACGAATATATTTATATATATAATAAAATAAACAGCTTTCAGTGAAAGGCAATAGGAGTTGAGACGTACTGGGAGTTAGCACTCAACTCCATACCCTTAATTGATTTTCTATTATTACTGGCTAGTTTAACATCAGCGTTTGGATTTTGTCTGGTAGATGGGGGTATCCCCGACACATTTAGGAGCTATTACCACAGACAATAACCTGGACCGATAACGGTATAGCGATATTTAATTCATTATTGTTTTATAGTGCTGAATTAATCGCCTATTAAGAATTGATGTATTCAATATATACCTGTACGTATGTTTGTGTATGTATGTATCTATATATATATACTCCTATACATTTTACTACATTTTTCCTTTGAGGTATGTATTAATATATAGATATCATCATTTTCAAAAAATCAGTGTTATTATCTACAGATAAAAAATATATTATCCCAGTAGAATGCAAGGTCAGAAATAGATAATTCCAAAGGTTACAAAGAAGATGATGCCAAAACATTCTTGTTATTTAGCATCAAAGGTGTTTAATGCTTTACCATTGACTTCAAGAGTATAAAATAATAAAATTAAGTTTAAGGGAAAATATGTAGAATTTAAATATATTACTGATTTTACATTCCAACCGTATAAATAAAAATATTTAAATGCACTGATTATACAATTATATTAATATGGGCGAGAGAAAATCTCTTGTATTGATTATAATTCAATTATTACTATTGTTTGCCCCCCCAGTGGCACAGCGGTATGTCTGCGGACTTACAACGCTAGAATCCGGGTTTCGAT